CGAAAACTGTGCGCGGTCCATCGGCGATATATTAGGAAACACGTTGCCGCACTAATCCGTCTAATAATATCGCCCGTTCGGCCCTGTAACTTAGTTAGGTCGACATCAGTTTTGGCATGGTGTCAATTGTGACACGCGAAATACACACTCGCTCAGCAAAAGAACCCCGTTAATTTCGGTCACCGTAGCTGCTCATTCACATCGCACGTTTTGGAATTGTCCTAATCGCTTTAATACAGATTTTCTCAACTCGATAAGAACTGTTTTCTAGAGATAAAAAATAATAAATAAAGTAAAAAGAGTAAAACACACTTGATGTGATGTATTTGCAAAAGACTTGATCAATAGATAAATTAGAAATATATTTATTATTCAAATCATTGATATCTGAATACGTAAAAACTCTCATTAATCCGTGAATGAGAAAAAAATCTAATAAAATATTGCATTTTACAATTCCTCGAAAGAAGCAATGTATTACGCGTACATTATTTTTTAAATAAGATCTTAGTATCTGATTTCTAGTTATTTCAAAATCTTAAGCCGCACATTCAAGTTGATTAGTTATCACAAAATCTTAATTACAAACTTATACGAGATGTGATCAAAAAATATCTGGACTGGATTTATTTTTAAAAAACTACAAGACTCTCAGATTTGAGATTTAATAACCCTTTTTCTTTCATCGCATTCGTCACATTGGAATTAACTGCAATAGTTGTTATATAATAGTTTTCTTTCGTCGCATTTGTCACATCGAAAAAAATTGAGTAACAAATTTGCATTTTTTTAAATCATAACTGATGATGAATTGTGGGTTTATGGATACGATCCCAAAATTAAAAGGCCCAAACTAAGGCTAAAAATCAAATTCAACTCAAAAATAAAAAGATTTCAAGACATTGAAAAGATAAAAAATATGACAAAGCAGCTGTTCACTATCTCAAAAAATAACTATAAAATGTTTCGAACAGTGGAAGCAGTGTGGGAGCTTTGGAAGGGAACTACTTTTTAAAGATGCAATTTCACTATTTAAAGGAATTAAGTTTTAAATTTGTAGGTCTTCTAGTTTTTTTTTAAATAAATCCAGTCCAATCACCTTTCGTATATCAAAAATAGTGACAGTACTAAAACGAGATATTTGACTATAGCTTAATTTTTCTATTACAAGTAAATTAAAAATAATTGAGGACAAATGAGCTTTGACGAGCATATATAATACAAAATAACGCGCAAAATTACTTGAGAGCCGTTAATTTGAACAGTGCAACAACGCATTCGCGTTGAGTTTCACGGTTACTCAGTGACGTTATTAACATCATTCGCACGAATTGAATTGTTTCGCGCCTAACGTTAAATTGGTTCACTGCATTCATGACACGAGGAACGGTGAAGTTCCACTTTATAATTGCGACACGGATGCTAATATACCTAAATTGATTAGTCATAAAAGAGGTTCAATTAGAAATTATCTATGAATAAAAAGTGCGCTCGAGTGTTTTACATTATGTAGATCGCTTCGACGTTATTAAAACAATTCACGTTTTTCTGGTTTCACGCGGTGAATGCAAATCGCGCGAAACCTTCGCCTAACACTTCCGAGAGTTGACGCTCCTCCTTAATGGCATTCGGACGGCAAAAGGACACTAGGTGACAATGATATCGAAGCGTCCTTCGACGTGCACGTAAAATGCAAATCGATCGATTTGGAGGGGACAGCGACGTTGCGATAGACAAAATGCAAAAGCTATCTTTGCGATAATAAATATTTCGGTCTTCGCGTTCCTCATTCCTAGCAAAACGATACGTAGCGAACGATAATAGCGAACTGTACAGCAGACATTTGCATCTAAAAATATGCGCGTCCGTGCAATCCCAATCACCGTGACGAAGTGCATCGTCGCTGCATTTCGGAAAAAATCAAACTTTCTGTTAAACTTTAATTGTCGCGCGAGTTAAGGAACACATGCTCGCCTGGCGCATTTAGGACGCCAAAACTTGGGCTTTAAGTTCACAATAAAATTTAGTACAAAATTATAAAGTAAAAATACAAACCAAATTAAGTAGTATTCATCAAATACAAAACTTGAAAATTTTATAAGAACTGCATATTTTTTCAATTCGCGTTTTAATTTTTTTTCAAAAATATATTTTTGATTATTTAATAATTGTATTTTAATTTTTTCACATAACTAAACTCGAAATATGTTTTGTAATAAATCTAAGATACTAATTTCGACGTAGTGATTCGTTTAACTTTTCACTTATTAATTATTACGCATTTTATTTAGCGCTATTAGCGATATTATGTAACACGCGAAGGAATAAACCTCAGCGGATACATATATACACACCTATACACGCGTACACCTACGAAGCGGACATGTGGAAAGAGAGTTTCCGAAGACTTTGCAAAGCGGCGAATCGTCTCGAGCACGTGCTAGCGCACGATGTTCGAAACGTGCAATACAATTTCTCATAATTCAACGTACCTTCGCACCCGCGTGATGAGCCTGAACTGTGCAAAAGGGAGAGCGGGGAATTCACTGACTTTCTTACGGTCGCACTATCGGCGCACTCCGCGGTTATCACTGCGGTGTCGCGAACGAGATCGAAGCTAGCAAAGCTGAAACGATCGATCGTCGTGCGTGAGCGCGCGGCGTGCAAATATCGCTGACAAAAACCGAATCGACCCGTTCGCGGAGGGACGAGGAAATCGCGAATCTTTTCACGATGGGTGCTCGGTGTACCGCGCTACGTACGTGACTGCTCACGAGTATCCGAGAGAGCCTCCGTACGAGTCGGCTCGAGTCAGTCTCCCTCTCTTGCTCGCCGAATCAGGGCCGGGGTTTACATATGAGCCGACAAAATTACCGCTCGCAGTCACGTATCACAGGCTTGCGTTGTCGCGTGAAAAATATATATATAATCGTACTACGGTTTTTTTTTTTTAATGGAATATTTTCAAATTATTTCTACCTGTCGGTGCCAAAAAGACTTCGCTTCGACTACAAATTGGAATTGCAACGAGCCTTTTCGATTCCGGCACTGCATAAGATCCCACTTATCCTCGTCAGCCCCGTCCTATCTTTCTCTTATTCTCGATCAACGCAATTTGCCAACTCTTTTTCACTTTTCGGAGGATACATATGTTACGTCGTCGACAATGCTCTGCGGGAAAGCGCGTCAACTGCACTTGTGAGATCGAACAAAAGATAGAAGAAAACAAATGATTCCAAGAAGTCTAATAAAAAAATAAAAACCTTCTTCTTTTTTGTTTTAGATTTTGAAAACGTCAGGATGAGCCTTAATCGTAAATTGAATGCTTTAGAGACCTTTCTACCCACATAGCATATCCAAAAGACGTCCAGAAGACATTTTGAAGATATCTTTGAGAGATACGATATCTTTGAGATATCTTCTGAACGTCCTTCAGATATGCATGTTATATGGGTATTTAGTTTAAAAAAAATGTGTCATTACAATTATAATCGCAAAGAAATATAAATCAATTTAGAGCAACAAAACTGCCATTAATAAAAAAAAGACTAGAAAAGGGAAAGCTTGTGTCCTAAAGAAATTTAAGAGAAATTATGTGTAAAAAAGAAATTCGAAAAAAAAGGCAATAAAATAAAGTATCAAATGACGATTAATTAAATCATGTAATAATTGTAAAATTAATATAATAATTGTAAAATTTTTATATTAATCAATTAAGGATAGAAAGTGAAATATCGCTAATTACAAGTTAATTAATATTTTAATTAATAAATAGCAGGGGATTAAAGAGCTAAAAAAGGAGTTAGACGAGACATCTGTCGAAAAAGATCGATGAGAAGCGTTGAGGACAGAGAAAATTTCCTAACGCTAATTCAGTCCTTGGTGCGAGCAAACGCGATCGGATATCACCCGCGAATGTATACACAACGACGACAACCCGGAATGAACTGGTTTATCCCTGAAGATGTATGCGTGTATCACGGTCAACCGCTGGATAAACGTATGGTTACCGCGAAATCAAGCGGAGCTCGATGAAGAAGCGCGAAATATTATAGCACGTGTTTGGATCATTCATTCTTTCCGCGCATTAAAGAAACGAGGGGACTTCCACCTTCAGGTTTTTTCCACGTCCGATTCGCCATTATCCTCGACATTATATATCGACTTAAACGCGCAGCGATTCTATCATGTTTTAGTCTTCGAAAAACTCGTATGAATTATTTTATTGACAAGCCCACTGTAAGCGTGTTAATTATATCGGAGTTTTTCTGTCAAAATCGTCAATTAGCAAGCAAATATTATCGCATATCACGCAGTTAACCGTAGAGATACGATATACAGATAATAAAATTACATTCGTGCGTAATACAATCATTCTACAACTTCGTTGGAAATTATTACACAGTATACAAATATAAATTTAGACAGAAATAGAAATATTTTTCTATTATTATTTTCAGACATATATTCTTAATAATTTTTTAAAATAAATAAATATACTTTTTAATTATATCTTGAGGAAATAATACTGTTAATTTTTCTAAAATGTTCAAAGTTCAATGTATGGTCTACGTGACTTTCTCCGAGTTCTGTACGTGAATAATCCAAAACTGATAAATCGAGAGTGGTGTTTTTACAAAAGACACAGAAATTGTAAAAATTTGAGCACACATTTTTGTCTGAGTGAAAGGAAGACAAGGCCTGCGTTCATAAAATTGTGTCCTAACTGCATTCCTACGGGGACTGTTTTAAAAATACCGTTCATTAACAATGGCAATGGGATTGTGTTCTTACACGAACCCGACTCGTCTGGCCGTCTAGATTGCAAACTTGAACGCGCTAGCCATTAATTATCAGCGATAATTAAAACGCTGTATAAGAAAATAATCAAACTTCTTTTTGCAGACGAAACATCGCAAAACAAGGTCAACTAATATCACTTCCGGCAGATAAATCACGATATTCGCGCTTGGTAAATCAAACAAGAACCTTGTACATACCATACGAGTAGCCTTCAAGTGCTTTCCGCTGCGTCCTTAACCGCGACGATGCACACGCGTGCAAGCAAGATAATGATGCGTAGGTCAGTGGAAATAAATTTCTTCACTGCTTCGATTTGATTCGAACGAAATAAAGTTCACGTACTCGTTTGTCAACGTTGTAGCTTCGGAAATGATTGTTTCTTCGTGTCGAGCACAAAATTGGACACAGAGTCCACAAAACTTCATCTATACAGCCGGAAATTAAATGCACTTCGTTCACTGCAAGTGTTTGAGAAATTCAGAGCGCACAATGCACTATTTCAACGAAAAAGTCTCCGATTTTCTTTCCTCTTACAAATCACGCGAGAAGGAACGTGAATCTCGAATATAAAAACTTTACATTCTTATCTCAATCATTTTTCACGTAATAATTTCTTCGCGCGTGACACAAGTGCGACTTCCCGAGAACTGAACGTAGTTTCGGGAACCGGTGTACGGTAACGCGGAGGTGTGTCAGCGTGTGATCGCAAAGAAATGCGAGGAAACGTGCGGACGCGTGAAATTTAATTCGAAGATAACGCGTCGTGTTATGCTTGGGCGACACGTGCAAACTTACGGAGAGATGTCGACGTACCGACGTTCGATGGCTAACTGACTGTCGCTGGAACATCAATCGAGTTTTATAATCGCCGGTGGCGCACGGCAATTACCGCGTGACTGCGAATATCTTTTACCGCTTCGTTAAGGCGCCAATCGAAGTGGCGGCCGCGCGCGATCCCCGGCGTAGCTTCGTCGCGAAACACGTCGAGTTAGCATGTTAGTTACGTGCATCTATGTCCGGTTTGTTTAACGAGGGAAAAATAGATTAGCCGCGACACGAGATGTGATTGGCGATCGGATTGTAATCGTGCTATTGCAATTAACGGGCGAACAGGCGGAACACCGTTCGTTCTCGTGACGAGGGCACCGTCCGATTTCCGTGTCGCAGGCGAATTTCGACCTTCGTATTTGCGAGCTGCTATCGCTTTATTCACGCATACTTCACACATACGTGCAATTAACAAATAATCGAATGACCGAGCTAAATATAAATTGTTGCACAATGCGCAATGTAAGTGTATTTTTGAAAATATTTAAGCAATTGAGAAAAAAAAAATTGCTCACATAGCAACATTAATCACAGAATGAACGCCGCATTAACATGAGATATCGGATCGTTCATATTGAGATAATAATGGACTAATAAGGAAAGTAATGGTCAATATTCGGAATAGCAGAGATACTCGAAATAAGCCCACAAATGAATGATCTAATATTTTTTAAATAAATCAATAGATTTAAAAAATTGATTAAGCACAAAATAAATGTAGCATGAAATATTATATCATACGTATTTATTGTGCAGCAATATCATACACAAAAAACAGCACGAAACTTTATACACGTGTACTTCACACATGCGTTTTAAGTAAACAGAAGATCAAGTAACCAAGCTAAATATAAATTGTTACACAATGCGCTATGCATGCGCATTTTTAAAAATATGTAAACAATTGAGAAAAAAAACTGCTCACATAGCAACATTATACAACACGTGCAACCCGAATGCATCGTGGACATCCTGGGTAACGCACGTGTCTGAGATACTTAGTTATCACTCACGAATTTATCATAAATGCGCTCAACTAAACGTGTAAAAACAAGAACAGCTGTGACATACTGAACGATTTGATATCATTATTCCACGTGTATTTTCCAATAATAAATTTTTTAATGTAAAAAGAAGAGATTTTAAAAATATTATACTCAATCCTATAAAAAATTAAAAAAAAATTAAATAGAGATAAATAATATTAATATTCAGTAATTAATACTTGAGATAATGAAATTTGCTATAAATTTTATTTCGCACAAATTAAAATATTCTCATCGTTAGACTCAACTTTTCCGATTATTCATTTTACGTACTTTTTCTCAACGATTATTCATTTTTATGTATTTTTCGATGACTCAAAAAAATTTGTCAATGCAAAATACCAAGGACGTCGCTTACATTGTCATTTGGATTACCATCGGAAATTTTTCCTCTCGCAAACACCCCGCGATTAAACAGTCGGGTCAACGGAGAACGGAGAATTACTCGCTCCTATCGTTCAAGTCCGTTGACATAAGGCGCTCCAGCACTCTACAAGTTTACACGCATACACGCGCGCTGGCACATGCATAAAATTCACCGAGCGTGATTAGCTCGAGACGATCAATTATGCGCCTCGATCGCAGACACAGTAAGATAACGAACGACTATATCGGCTCCAAATACTACGCGAATAATCTTCCAGACGTTTGTTTACGGAACGTGCGTATGCGTACAATATAATTTTATATTTATAGTATAATTTAGATTTCCTACATTCCATTTTAATCATTTTTAAAATAAAATACAATGATCTAGCAGATTATTATACTTGATTAAGATCTATGCTTTTCAAATAATCCGTCGTTGTATTATTTGATGTTAATTAATTTGTCTCGATATGGCAACAAAAATACTAATTTCTATTAAAATATGACATACGTCATAATTTTCAAATAATTCATATTAATAATTATATTAAATAGTTACAACACATGACATCTTATCATGTGATTTTCCGCATTGAAAGATTACGGAGAAATCACGGCCGTAACAGTAAAAAATAACGCGATATGATGCGAGAAAAATAACGTTTAAAAAAATCTTACCTGGATCTAACGAGATGATACCGGTTGAGCTTTTCGCTGAATGGCTCGCGACGATGGTGCTTTTGGTGAAACTGATGGCCCTGATTAGTGCGCTGCCCGTTGCAACTCAGGCAACGGCGAGCTCCTTGCCAAACAACCAGCATCACTGCAACACGCGCAAAAAAATGAACGTTAATAACACTTCATCTGCGAAATATCTCAATCCACTAACCGCAAGTCAAGCGTAAATCACGCATTTACGTGATTCTAATGATATACACTTTATCTGCTGATAAGGAACATTCCACTCAAAAACGCATGTGCATGACGAGTCCGAGACAAAGGAAAAAAACAACGACGCTTTACTCGAACGGATTATTTTTCTCTTTCGTTATCGCCAACGATGTTTTGCGAGAATTTATTACAAAATTTCAATTGCCAATAATCCGATTGTCGATCGGATCGCATTGTATAGTACGTTCATGATTGGAATTACGACATACATGCTCTTGACCTTCGGCCTAGCGTTTACGCCACACACGCGATTTGCAAGTCCACGACAGCAAACAATTCGCGTGATACGCCTGAAATCAATACCCCATCACGAGACGTCTTATCTTCAATTCAATAGAGATAATTTTTATCATTTAATTTGACGAACACGATTTAAAATTCGTGCAAATGACTCAATAAAAAATATAAAATATAATAAATACTTATATAAATATGTAATGAATTGAGATTTGTTAGTCAAATTTGTGTCTTAATAAATTTAAAATAATTCCGAGCGTGCGAACTCTATAAGCACATCATTACTTTCTTAACTGACAGAGACAGGTATGTACGGTCAATAGGGGAACACTTGACATTTAACCTCAAAATATTCCTACACGTGATTCGCGCAATGGAACACGTTAACCCGATACTACTATGACTGGCTTTGTTTTACCTTCGATTGACCTTGTGAATCTGAGAATCGTTCAGAGACTCACACGTGTTTAAACTCCACCTCTGTCATCGACGTGTCGCTAGAGAATTTGAGAAATAAATTTACGCGAGGAATAAGAGCTAAAAACGTTATTTGTATGACAAACTTTCACTGTTTGTTACTTTTTTAACCTACACTTCTCTTTGTTCATGCTGTTAAATTTGGAAATAAAAAAATATATATATATATTGTATATATGTTTGTGTGTGTGTATAAATTATTCGTACAACATAAGGTGTGTAACACATTCTTTTCACATATCGAATATCTGAGCTGAATGTTCGCGTTTTCGTGAATCAGCTTTGTAATTGTTTACCTCTGCTTGTTGCTTTTGACTGACGCAACATTACCCCGAAAAGTATGAATCGGAGCTTCCGCTGGTGCTTTCGACGAAAATTCGAGAATGTGCCTCGCTGCTCGAGTATACTCTCGCGACAATGTGACATTGCAAACTCGCGAAAATATATACCGTAATGCGGCAGAAAATACACGTCGAGTGCCGGCGCTCTATCGATTGCCGGGTGGAGATTGGCCGGAGCACATTAGATTACAGACACATTTACCGCTACTCTCGCAAAAACATGACGAAATTCGTTTCAGTTCTTACTACTTTCTTTCTTTTTTCTCTATCAAAGACTCGAGTCTGGCCTTTTAAACGCAAAAGAGTTTATTCATACTAACTGATGTATGACTTTAAAATCTTCGAACATAAAATTACAAGACGTCAGTCCGCTTTTCGAAAGGCTCGAAAATTTTATTATGTAAGTACGTACAAATTAAAGAATTCAGAGATATTATCAATGTTCTCGATAGAGCGCGTCACCTTTGCTATTTTACGATATAAATCTATCTGTCTATATTCGTTTGCGTGATTTATGCTTAAACGAATTTTGCTCCCGTTTAATGACACTTCTTTGTACTTTGGACTTTTCTTTTAACTCCCTACCAAGCTTGAATACACATATGTCGATTTAAATGCAGCAAGTTTATAATTCGTTGCTGCTTTGGCCCGGCGATAAGATGAATAAATAATGAATGCAATGATAAATTCAAACTCCAACGCGTGCTCGCGCGCTCGTGCCGGACGATCGCGCGCGTGGACGCATCAATCTTCGTCATCGCAACCATGATTCTTTCTTTCTCCCGTTCTTTCCTTCTATGAACATCGAATCTATCTAGAAAATACGTACCTTGTAAACGTCAGGCCCACGCTATGGCGTCCTGAGAATGTTTCACGTTTCGTTTTCGTACCGAAAGAAACCGCGACCGATTACCACTTCGCGGAACACTATTCGTCACGCGTGCGACAGTTACGCTATCGATTCGCCGCGACGTTCAACTGCGTCCACGACGGAGACCGCGCAATTGAGAGGAAGATGGTAACGCGAACGAGCGGCAACGAGCGAAAAAGCACGGGCGAGACACCGGTTAAAAGGGCGAAAGTGTCGGCAAAACGACACGAACCACGGCGAGCGCGATGGATGGATGGACGAACGGTGCCACGCACTCGTTGCACGCTCGGAGCGCGACACGGTGGCAATCAATCTGTACCGCGCGGCGGACGGCTGCACACTGAACGTAGCGGCGCGCGATGCCGCGCAAATATGAAGACTCGCCGCAATGAGCGGCGTCGAAATGCTGCGACTCAGTGAGCGCAGTGCGTTTGAAAAATATTAGGATGATTTTAATTTAAACTTGATGATACAAAATATTACTTGTTAATCAAATCTACAACACTTTTGAGGTAACTGAAAAAAAATACTGAATAAAAAGAGAAAACGGGGAAAATATAAAACAAAATTATAATATCAAAAAATATAACTTTCCAAAACGGGTGGATATCGTAGAGAAGAATGTCAGGATTTATCTATCAGAATTTTTATCATTTTTTTCTAATGTATACAAAAACTTTTATTGCAATTCTTACATTGAATGATGAAGAATTAATTTAATTTTTGTTCTTATAAGACTGTGTATTGAGAAATTTTAATGCAGCATCTATAAAACATCAATGTCCTTTTTAAAAAATGAAAAATATAATAAACAAAAAAATAAATATGATACATAATATTATGATCATTGTATTACATATTATATTTTTACAACGAAGGAGATTGAAGATATGAGGATATAATCAATGAATCCAACATTTTATTCAGCAATAATACGAATATGATGAAAAATTGTTCGGTTGTTTTATGATGTAACGTACATTTGTAATTGGCTTAATACACCTCAAATATCACTTTAAGTCGCTCCTTAAACAATATTTTTTACGCAAATATTGAATTTTACGAATTCGAATAAATTATAGTCACAAAAATGATCAACATATAGAATAACATAATAGAATGAAAAGATGCTGATTCAATACTCAATTCATTTGTACTCTAGTTGACATCTTTCGAAAATACATTTGTTTTGCTTTTAAAAAACGTAAATGTTAATGCAAATATTGATGCATATTCATGGAAGCATCAAAGCAATATCAACAGGAAACCAATAACAACTTTTGATTATTATTTTAGCAAAACATTCAAAAATCTTTTAGAGCGCTCTTTAGATCAATAGTCTTAAAGTATTTATATTTCAAATACATTATTGTACATATAGAAAGTTACGTTTTTATGAGCAATGAATAAAGAGCGCATATCATGAAAATAAATGTTATTTACTTTTATCCCTGATATTTAATGTTTTAGAGTTTCGTAATAATCGTATTCGACATCGAACATCAAAAATCTGTGTGTTATCTTCTATAATTTAATGAACACATTTGAAATATACCGATGCTTCGTGGCAAATGTCTATAAATTCATTTCATGTACAAATTATGTTAATTTTACCGCAAAATCTCTACGCACGCGTTTAACAATCCGTTGTATGATTTATCATGGGAATATACAATGTAATTATGTTGTTATCAATTTAATGAAAATGTGTTATGTGTTAAGATGTTAAATAAATACACAATTTAAATTCAAGATGAATAGTCTGTAAAAAAATATATATATATGTATGTCTATATGTGTATATATATATATATATATATATATATATATATATATATAATATAGGTATGTCACTTATATATAATCACTATGTATAATCTTGCAAAATATGAATAGGGTACATATAGATACATACAAACAAGTCAAATAATTGCACTAAATTATAAAAGTAGCTGCGTAGCATAAATCTCTGTGCAAGAAGAAACGACATTACTTTTAAAACAACAAAAGCAGGTATTATTATCTAAACAGCACTTATCCAAAATATATAAATTGTTAATAATCTTTAAGAATGCTTAGGCGCTATAAACTCCCTATTCTTGTTTTTTACCTAAGATGTGATGGATAAAAACAAAGTATTTGTTTCTTACAAACAAAGGATTTCTTACTTTCAATGTAATTTTTTTACAGCAATAAAAAAAATAAAATTTCTTTAGTATTTCTACAACAGAAATAATAAATTGTTTCAGAATTCTTTATAATATGCAATAATATTTATTATATATTATAATAAAGTAATCTCTTTGTATATAATATTACAAAAAAAAAAAGTAGTAGATGTGCAAATACTTTGCTTTGTCCACTGTATATGTTATTAATGTGCCATTCGATGTGCAAAATTGTTGTATAAGAGATTTTGAATGATATAATTGATAATTCGAGGCAGGTGTTACAAACTTCTCTAATAATTGTTTGCCACTTATACATAATATCAGGCTACTAATAGATTGTTATGAAAAAAATATAATGCGTAATACTTATTAAAATCTATGTTAGTATATAAATTGAATTGTAAGTAAAAGTTCTAATTATAAATATTACTGGAATATGAAATAAATTTTTATCTTCTTTAAAAGCCTTTAAAAGCCTTAGACAAGTTAATTTTCATGGCTAATGTACACGTAAGTTATTAAGTAGAAAACTTTTTTTTTCGAGATTTTTTTTCTTTTCTATACAACGTTGTTGGTATTCTCAAACATCAACAATTCTGAAGGACTATCTTCTTAAATAGAATAATTGTGAATAATTTTCTTTATAGGACTACAGTTTTCCAACTCTTCTATGCTTTTCTGTATCTCGCATTTTGTATCATAGGAAACAGGTACAATGTGTTAGGTAACTCAATTTCCTGTGCGATACAACAATCGATAAGATTCCTTACGCTACTTTACTCCGTAATAAAGATCAAGTACATTTTACCATACTTATAAGTTACATAGAAAATGTTCCGCTGGTAGATATCATTCCTTTCATTTTTTTTCTGTTTTAATAAGATGTATAGAAAACTAAATATCCTACAGCCTCTCTCTGTGATGTATAAACTAAGTGGCAAAAAGTTGAGAATAACTAAAGTGCTACACACCGAACAAATTGCATGTGGAGAGAATTACAAACCGATACAACAAATGGACAAGTGCATTTTTGTGATAATAAAGATTACACGCAACTCGGCATTATTTAGACTCTGTATTATTTAACTATGTAATCTCTTTTTGCTTAAAAAAAAAAAAAAAAAAATAAAAAAGTGATTGTGTTTCGCGTTACGTTTATCGCGCAACATAATATATCTTTACGTAAATTAATACAAGTCTAGATGCGTTGGTAATAAAAAAAATAACATGTGGCAATTGTTATATCTGAAGGTGGAGACGACTTTTCGGTTAGATAGCAATCAGTTATACCAATTGCGTACTCCAAGAAATGCAAAAATACACTATGTAGCACATGATGAGGAATTCTCCGTGTTCTAATAATGGACGGTGGAGTGTTTACTTGCTACTCATTAAAAAGAATATCTACTTCCTTCCCGCATCCTAAAATGGTTCCTATCGCTAAGTTCATTTGATCTGCTACTAGTCATAAGTTAAATTATGATCTTATTGAAATAATGAAGTGCACACTATAAATTATGAATTGATATAGTCCTTCTTTTCGCCCAAGTCGTTGTCAACTGAACTGTTACTGTCGAGTCATCACATAAAACATCAGTAAGCCGTTATTACAATATAAATATCGTCTTACTGAAATATCGAGATATCAAAAGTTGTTAAATATCCACCTAAAATTAAACGATGTCGTAATAAATATAAGTATCTCTTAAAAAACGACGCTGATTTTTATACCTAGCTTATTTCTGTAAGGTGAGCGCGTCACCTTGATGGAAAATTTGTTATATTTACACAGTAATGTACAATTATGATTTTATACACAAGTGAAAAATGTGATGTTCTTTTTCTTTCCCTTTTCGCGATATTTTTTCTAATGCATCATTTTATGCAGTTTTAGAATCTTCCCCAAACGTTGCTTCGCCGTTTTCATTCCCTTTTTTGGTTTTCGCTCTGAAAATTTATGGACATCGAACATCTCAGTTATCTTAATTTACAATTGTTAATCGATTATAACTCATATCTTATAATATAAATTTTTAAATTATTTTTAAAAAAGAAACACAGGCATAAAAATTGATACTTTACCAACGGGAACGGGTGCCGCAAGTTTGGCTTTAACATCTCTAAGTCGATTGGGACTTGTCAGTATCGATCCGAATCCTGTTGGTGATTTTATAACATTTTCAGAAGCTGCAGTGGACGACGTAGTCCCCACTGCAGTGACCACCGGATTCTTCTGCTTCTTTTTGTTATACGTCCGTTTGTTGGAACTCTATTACATGCATAAAACGTAATATCATTAGGTTCTTTCAATTTATAACAACAGCATAAGTGAAAATGATCGACGAATACAGAAAGGAAGACATAGAGAAAGAAACAGAGTCCACTATACAGAGATATCTAAATAGCTTATTCCTGTCGGATTAGTCTGAAACTATTGGTGGCAAATCAATCACTACATGTGCAGTAAAAAGAAAATAAATTAGCGTTAAAGTAACTAATACGATTAACTAATATTTAAACAAGAAAACACTTTTATAAGAATTATACAATTGGAAACACAATTTTGGCTATAAAATATATAATAACTACAATTGGAAAACTGAAAGAAAATATTGCACTACTGACAGATCGAAATTGTAAAAATCGAAATATGCCTACCAATTTCTTCTTGGTAGTCTTGTCCATGTCGTTATCCAGGTATTCAACCTATATGAAATGTATATGCAAGAAACATGGAGAATTATGGTATTTAAGAAAAGTTATGAAATGATAAGACACTTAGTAAATGACAAATAATAATATAAAAAATATTAAACATATTATTTCATCAGAAATCAAATATAGCAGGCGTGTGTTTGTGAATTATGAATATATTAGTTTCGATATATATTTAATAATTAGAAAACTCAACGTATTATTTATACACGTGTAAGAGACATATAATTATGTGCAAAACAAAACAAAGTAATGCTGAACGAAATAATAATTAACTTACCGATTGTTTCGCTCGCTTCGCCGCAGCCGCTTCCAAGCCCTTTTCCACAGACGTTTTCTTCGCGCCTTCCCGCGCCGGTCGATTTGTTTTTGGTAAAAGGGGACCCACTCTGGCTTTCGGGTTCCACGCTTCATCAATCTGACTCTTTGCTTTGGGCTTGAAGATATAATCTTCGTCGTCGGAAGCGTCCAAAGCTGGATAAACTGCGAATGATATATATTTAGTGGATGTTCATCACCAATAAAAGGCATACTTTTATTATATACGTACTGAAATCATCGTCTTGGTGAACTTTGTCGATATTTTCTATCGACTGATCATCGTCGTCGTCATCGTCGTCTGGTTGGCTCTTAGTGGGTTTTGAAGATTTCGTGAGATTACTCGTGGTTGAGTAACTCTGGCTGAACGATAACATTCCAGCGATCGCCTCCCGTGTAGACGGTGACGCCCTGTCGGAACTGATCGTTTTCAATTTATAAATACTAAGACACCAAAAAATCAAACTCATTCCTCTGTACGTGTGAAAAGCTACTGGAATTTTCTAATCGACATTCGCTTAAACAAACCAAGACCTTTTACATGCTCGAAAAGAGGAAAAAAGTACAATCTACGTTCATATATATTAGCTCTCTATGCCTTTTAGATTCATCTCGAGTCAAAATAAACTTGCAGAAGTTTGAAAAACTAACAGCTAATTCAATTAATTAGTTCAAACTGTTCTAAAACTTGTATCACTTTATTAGAATTGATCAAGATTTTTCAAGGTGTGAGAACTACAACATACTTAATATTAAATATTAAATATAATATTTAATATTAAAAACTAAATGTTAAATACTAAACTCCACAACGAATTGACTTACCCAGTAGGAGGCGGCATGGACTGGCTGTACTGTGAGATCGTTGTCGAAGGCCTGCAATAATTTTTCATTGTAATCTGCTAATAATAATGATAAATCTAAATTTATACATACGTGACGTCTATCCTCTGAGTGCCATTTCCGAGCGTGTACGCCGATGCTTTCAACAGTTCCTCTATACCGTTTTTCGGTGCGTTGCTTAGCACGTCAACGTTACCATCGAAATCGCGCTTAAATCGCTTCTGCGCGTTCGATTTCGGCGCCCGCTTCCGCTTCTGCGACTCATCTATCACGAGACTGTAATCGCTCTCGCTGCTGCCGTCGTGAAAATCGTATACGGACGACGTTTGATTCCACGGTAGCGATTCTTTCGTTGTCTCGAGGGTGTGATCGGTTGTAATATTGTTTCCGTAAACGTTTATATTGTCGTTTGTACTTCTGACAACCTCATTGTTGCCGAGTTTAAATCTAATTACGGTAGGGCTCTGTTTTCCCGGCTTGGACAATTGCCGCTTATTGCTATTGGCAGGTTTTTCCGTCGCAGTCGCTTTAACGTCGGGGCACATAATGGGTTTTGGTAATGTGAGCTTTAACGGTGGCCTCGGCGATTCTTGAATCACAGCAGGTTCCACTTTGTTCTTTTCCTTCAGCGTCATTTTAAAGGCGTTATCAGCCATCTTGTCGGCGTAATCAAAATCCACGAAATCTTTGTTCAACGGCTTCTTCTTCTTTCGTTTACTCTCACGTTCCGGCTTCGGCGGATTTAAAGATATTAAGTACCGTTCCGCGTGTCGTATCTCTTTGCTGAGGTCTTTCAGTAATTTCTGGCTATTTATCGTTTCCGGTATCTGACCGCGGCTGATCATGTTATACTGAAATTAAACCTTGGTTTTTATTCTACATTCCATCGGATTTTATATTAAAAGAAAAAATTAAATATACGAAATGTTTTAACTTACATCCTTGTCTGTATTCCATTGTTTGAGAATTCCAAGCAGCGCCTTCACACCTTGTAAAAAATATGACGGACATTTTTTGCCCTCATTATTTAATTCTTTTAGTTCTTTGAGCAATTTTTTCGCTGCAAACCAGTTAATTGTCTCAAATCCAGGATACTGAAACTTTGCAGGAGTTTTCATCTTCCTTTCTAATTCATATATTCTACAAAATAGAGCGCAATTTTAACGTAAAATACATGATATATTTTTCTCAATCAATTGACGTCCAAACAAATTTTCTTTACTCACTGTATTTGCATCGGAATGTTAAGACTGTGCACAAAATTTCCGCCGAAAACCAAAGAATCCATCGGCGTGAGCACAGCGTGTATCCAGCCTGTGGGAATCATCATTGTTTGACCCTGTTTAAGCACGCATTTGTAACACGCGTCGGCCTGGTCCCCAAAGAAAGTTTCACTCTGTGTGGAACTGCACATCCAATGCTGATACAGTTGCAAATTCGCCGGCGTCGGCTTTACGAGGTAGAACACTTTTTCGCCGCGTAACACGTGATACCAAACAGATGTGCCGCCAAAATCAATGTGAAAATCTGTGAAACTATCTTTGACCCCCATTAGGCAATACTTTTGTACTTCGGGTCGCTTTATATCACTGTCCTCGGGCCAATCTCGCGGCCACACAGAATTAACCCAGTCAAGTTTGCGCGCGATGTACGGCGCTTCCACCATTGGCGAAAGACTGCAATTGTTTGATTTGTCAATTTATGCAAATATGTCCTAGAAAACATTTATAAAGCCGCAATACGGCAAGGCAATGAATATTGATATACCCAGTATTAGAAAATTCGAGACTTATGACATTAAGTACCCTTGTTCGAGAAGGAGAATTGAAATATTCTACAAAGTCTCTTAATTTCATGCGTATGTTACTTTGTCTAGTAACATCGATTACATCCATGTCTCGATCACCACCTAAAAGTAACAGTATTCAACTATGTAAATTTATATGTAAAATAATATTGTACAGTATACTTATTATATTAGCTATCTTACCTATATGAGTCTCGACATCGTAGACACTAAAACTTGGAGATGGTACAATCATATCAAGTCCCTCTTTTCCATCAGTAATGATAGGAGTTTCAAAACCATTTGTTTGTAAATACTGAAAAGTTAATTGCTGACCCTTCACATGCTTCACAACTTCATCAGCTTTGGGAAAGTGCCTAGATTTCAACTCTCGTATAAATACTGGAGTACCAGTCTGAACAGGTTTTGTGTCAGCATCGCGTTCGGTATAATCATGTCTGTGCCAGTTCATTCTAGCCTTCACTGTAAAAGAAAATTGTTAATTATTAATAATAATAAATAATTTCATTTAAAAATATACATAAATTGTTAATATTTAATAGCAAAACAGCCTTACTGAGTGAAGGACCACACATAGCTTCACACCGTGGACAATGATATTTGTCAAGATCTATAGTCATATATTCTTTTAAAGCCACACATCTAAAATGAAACAATGACACTGTTTACATTCAATAAAAATCATCACAATTCTAACATATTACACAATTTACAAGTCACATATATGTGTAAACAAACACTTTATTTAAATACAATGGGTTAATAAGTATTTTAATTATTCTCACTGTGTCACATATTTGCTAATAACAAGAAAAAGACATAAGAAATGGAAGACAAATAGCGTATAATGCAGGTTATGTTACTATCAACAAAACATCATTTGCGACATGATGCCGGCAAACCCACGCCGTAATTCTGTATTCACAATCAAACATAAACCAATGGGCATCCTTGGAGATATAATTTCGTATACAAAAACTTCCAGAATTCGGAAAAATCGTGAAAAATCAGTGTTGCGAGCGTTGAACGCCGTCGTGTCTCAAGCATCGAATTTCTCCGATTTCGCATATTTTAACGAGCTTGCAAACGCTTACCCGCCATGGTACCACTCTTTGCACACGTCACATTGTATCATAAATTGCTCGGAATCGTACGAACGACCACACAAGCAATACGTAACTGGCAGCTCCATTTTTAGTGGTTATCAATATTGATGAATACAACTCTTCCCGTGGCACGGTTTCGTCAACACAAAGATGGTAGCGTGATGGAAAGTACCCTGACGTTCAGGCTGACCAACTGCGTGAAAAGTTTTGTTCGCATCGCATGCTCCAATCAGTGACGCCAGATTTGAATGCAAGCACCAAGCAACACGAGGGACGGAATATCGCACCATGTGCAACATGTATTCCTGTTAACAAATAATAGCTCCTTAGGGTATGTTCCAACGCGACGCGAACGTCCGATCGCCATATTGGTTCCGGTGAATGTATTGGAAATACATATGAATATGAATGTATTGAACAAATTTGAGGTTAAATTCTGGATGTTTGATAAAAATTGATAAACCACATACTATTAGATATATATTTCTACTTATCAACATTTTGTTTATCAATGAAAGTTAAACATAATGAACGAAAAAAGAAAACGAGAGCTAAACTGAAAGTGAAGAATAAAGCGTAAGTAAAATCATTCAAGGTTAAGTAATTAAATACTGATTCTTTCAATGCTCGCGTGGTTCTTAAATAAAAAAGAACATAATATTAAGTGAAATATTGTTGACTAATAACTCATTATTTTTCTTTTTATTTTAGAAAATTGACAGTGCAGACAAAAAAACATGGCTGCAAAAATAAAAGTATGTTTCATAAAGATATGATTATAAATTCAGTTAATGCGCAGAATATTTCTTTAGCCGATGAGCCAGCTTTTTCTTGTGCAGAGAAAACAGCCACACAATTAAGTTTTAAGTGCAGAAAACAACAATCAAATAGTAAAGGAAGTACTAGTGAATCATTTCCAAATCTTGAATGTAAGAAACACAGAATTTTTTTATACTTATATTATTTTACTGATTTATTTACAAGTGTCTTTCAGGCAAATGAGATAACTTGTTGTTATGTCTAAATAATATTTTTAGACTCACAATTAAAATTATTAAATTGCAGGTAAAATGACCGATTCTGTGGAATGGGGTGTTTCTGAAAATGGAGAAAAGGATGATGATTGGAAGGCGGATTACTCAGAAGAAGAGACACAAGAAGATTGGCTTCAATCCATTTTGCCCAAAGAAAAGAGGAATATAAGTTCACCATGTGTGGTTGAAATGTTGTCAGATGATATTAATTCGCTAAGTCTACCAGGGATATTGCAGTCTGAACAAACAGCAAGATCAGACAAAGAAACATTTTATGGCATTGACTTTGGAGCAGACGCATTACCTAATAAGAAAGATACATCTGTAATAATTGCTAAAGCTATTAATCCTAGATGCGATACTCATATACAAACTAATAATGAACAACAGGCATTGCCTGTAGTATTGAGTACAGAGGACAAAAGTAACAAAAACAAAGATACCAGTAGTCGTAAATCAAAAGATGTTTGTGACAATGTTAATGATGCGAGCAGTTCTAATAGAAGTACTCCACGTAAACAACGCAAAAAGAAAAAGCGTAAAAATTCGACAAATTGCAATGATGATGCAACAGCACAGGGCAGTTTTCAACATGATGATGTCAGCACACTTCAACAAGAGATCGATCTACCTGAATATATCGAATACATGCGCGCATTTCGACGAGAAAATAGGACACCTCGATATCAAATTATTAGCGCATCTCAATCCAAATATACCGCACCTCCAAACGAGTTTGTCAACGTTTCTCACCATATGTGTAATAAAAAATCACCAGAAATTTATTGCATAAGAAATACAGTTATTGTTATAATGGAGAAGGAAAGTGGATTCTGTTTCAACGGCAAATTGTTGGTGAAAGTATTATACGGTGCTGTGAAAATTTATGGATTCGTGCTCAACAATTCGGCCGATGCTACAAAAGTGTACTCACCGAGAGGATACAATCACGTCGCTATAGAAAATACCGGGACATCTTCGGAAGGTAGCATCGAAGATATCTGGACCGCACTCGCCGCGAAAGGTATCACCCGAGATTCGGAGAGCAAACTGCAAATCGACGTCGATAATGTTCAACCGGGAATGGCCGTTCTCGCGTTGCAAAACTTCGAGAACAACCTGACGCTCTTCCTACAAACTTACTTTCCACATTTCAGATTATTTCCGAGCATAAAAAATCCTCACTACTATCCTTGGACAGATCCCAGACGAGCCGAAGTAATATTACAAGCAAATTTGTATTTCTCGCAACACGACGAATTTAAGTATAAAAGATTATTCTTTGATTCGTACCTCGCCGAGGACATCGCGGAGAGAATGTTGAGTCGCTGGTACGAAAACGAATGGTCCTGCACGATGGTCATGGGCGGCAAAGGCGTCGGCAAGTCCACGAACGTGCGGTATCTCATCAACAGTCTGTTGCGCACAACCAAGGTGGTCCTGGTGGACGTGGATCCCGGTCAAGCAGAGTGCACACCGGCCAGCTGCATCTCGTACAGCTTGATCGAAGAGCCTCTTATGGGGCCGAATTTCACGCATTTAAAAACGCCCGTTTATCAATTGTTCCTCGATGAGGTAAACATTGCTTCGTGCGTCATACGCTACCTGGAAGGCATCAAGATGCTGATAGAACGACTGAAGGGATGCCCCGTACTGTCTTGCTTGCCTATCGTGGTGAACACTATGGGCTTCGTGCGGAATCTCGGCTGGGACATCGCGATCTTCACGATAAAGCTGATTAGACCGTCGTTCATCCTACAAATTAAATCGTCAACAAAACAATATAATTACAAAGAATATCTCAGTGCAGAAGTTGTAAATAAACAGGTAACGTGCAACTTTTTCAATGGTAAATACCTTCGTTATTAGGCAATTACTACTCGAAAAGGAAATTCAACAGGAATGCTCTACATGGACGTTTTGCGACGAGACATTCCTCGACTGGAATAGACCGTGCGAGCACGATGTGCACGTAATTCCTTCCCAGGTGGATATTCCTCGACGGCAGAATAGAGACAGGCGCAATGAAGGAATGTGGAACATGGAGCCGTATCAGCAACGTGAACTTGCGATGATGTCCTATCTCAGCGATATCATACGCGAAAACGATGATTCTTTGTAAGCTCTTGTCACACGCATTTTACACAAGCTTTTATAATCACCTAATTGTTAATTTTCTTATTTTAGCCACGTGAAATTGCCGGTCAATATTAACGACATAGTGCCATATACGTCAGTATTTTATGTTTTATATGCAGCCAAGTGTCATCAATGATTAAAGAATTTATATAATATATTATCTTTACATGTGTTTGCAGGGCATCTTTTTCATCTCTGTGTATTATTCCCAAACGATTGTTCGGTGTACCGCCCTCGCATGCTTTGAACGTTATAAACGGCAATATCGTAGCACTGTGCGGTGTGGATTTAACGGAGGAGTCTTCTCAGGAATCTAATGCCATCTTTACTCTTCGAATCCTGACGCAGAGGTCATCTCTATGTACATGCTACGGCTTTGGTAAGAGCGAATGCCGGCATTATCGTACGAATATTTCCCAATGTTTCAAAGATTCTAGATATTTTCCTAATAATATTTATTTGAATACATTTTTTTAAAGAATATATTGAATAAAATATTTGATGTACATATTTTTTATGATATTTACATAATTTCAAAGAATTAATTGCAGGAATAATCCGAGGTATCGATATGAAACAGCAGGAAGTGTTCATAAACACTCCACTGCCAATATCGATTATGCAACATGTTAACTGCTTAGCGGGCTGTATTCCTGTTCCGCCCGCACTGCTGCAGTTACACCATCGCGCACCTTACGTCGGCGCCAACGCAGGTTTACCAACAAGTCGCGAGTCCCAGAGAGGGGGATGCATAGCGAAGATGCATAAAAAAAAGTCGGATAAAAGTCCTAATAAAACAGTTCCCAAGTCCTAATAAAACTAAAGGTGTCGAACTAATACAAACTGTGTCTTTGCATAATGCATTATAAATGCTCACTAATTTTTTATGGAATAAGAGCATTTGTACTATACTTGTAAACATCATGTTTTATAATGTGGGGTAATCGATTATGTTTGATTTGTATTAAGGTATGATTGTATTACAATATAAATAGTGAATATTTTGTAAAATATTTCATATTTTATATCAGAATATATTGAAATAAAATATAAAATATTTTGTATTCACTTTTTAATAATCTTACCTTAATACTTTTGTAACGACAAAAATTGGTTTGCATAAAATTTACATATATGGTCACATATTTACAAACATAAAACTGACTTTCGTATACTTTAGAACTTTATTTTTGTAAGTTTATGTACGGCTTTGAAAACAACAAAGATGCATATACAATCTCTTGTGATGTATCTTGTAATCTGTATACTTAAAAAATAAATGTATATAACAAATGTATAAAAATAAGTGTATACAAAATATATATAAATATATTTAAAAAATATATTTTATATATATTTATGTATAGTGGTCTTAATCAGAAAAACCTCCGCGTGATCCAAATAGTCCGGGTCTATACTAAATAACAGTAATCCCGGAGATTGTAAAATATAAAAACTGTAATTAAACCTTTATTTGAAAATACAACTAATGAATCATTTCTTAATCGAATTGAAACCTCGAGGTTTTTATATTAAATAAAATAAATTATTCGTTTTAATTAGAATATTTTGGTTGTAGAACGACTTATCTCGTTTGTAACGTCGATAGCTTCTTGAAGAATTCGGGGTCATTTTGTAGATTTATGTAGAATTATTATATCAGATGCACTTTTTAAAGAAATACAATCTCTTGTACAAAACCTATATTGTCTATATATATATAGCAGTGTGAGTAATATAGTCGAGTCTATCAGCACTCATGATGAAAACATACATTATTTTCTACAAAGTGAAATATACAAAATAAAAATATTCATGCAAACTATTTGATTAAAATTCATGTGAATTATATTATTTTGTACACATTCATTTTTAAAATAATTTTATTTTATAAGCATTAATCTTGTTAGTAACAAACAAATAAATACTCTCTATATATGTGTAAACAGTTTGAATAAGTGTTTGAATAAGAATTTTAGAAGAATATTTCTATAGAAACTTTCTTAAAAATATAAATCTAATAGTTAATAATTGATGTAGAATTGTACGTAACAAATCATATTTCAAATTTAAATATCAATTTTTGCATTAATTTTTACTGAATACATTCTTTAATTTATATATTGTTAGATAATTGGTAATATAAAAAGATTAAGAAACGAATTAAACATATACAATTTATTACATACAAATATACAATTTGTAACTGTATGATTATACATAATTGCATAATTGCTGATAAAAACCAATACATTAACATTAACAAGTAAAAAAGGAATCAGTAATTGTAACAGAATTAATTAAGTAAAATAAATGATTATATATTCATAAACATAATGAATAGACGGAATATTATCCACTTCTTCCAATAGAAAAGCATGACGTCAGTAAATATTTGGAATAAGACACACGCAAATTATTTTTATCTGATCTGATAGCATAGACGTAATATAAATATTCAATATATTCAAATTCTAATATATTCATACTATGAAATGTTATCAGACACATGCCTATGTATTTGGTAACATTTCGTATATATTTGTGTAGTGAATTTATTTCTATATATTTGTGAATATAATTTCCCAGACAGCACATGTCCAAAAATTACATAAGACGTCTTAAAGACGTTATTAAGACATCTTTTAGCCACCGTTATGTCCCGATTTGGGACATGTGTGTTGTCTGGGTTGTTATTAATAATTAATACTATTTTAAATTAAATTTATTTAATCTCATTACTAAAAATTAAATTGATTTAATATCATTAATTAAAAAAATGCCACGAAAGTGTGTGGTGTGCGACTATGTGCAAAATTGTGATAATATAATTACGATTAGTAGTTTTTCAGAGTTGCACACTGCACATTTTCTTGGTATTTTTTTTATTAATAACATTAAATATTAAATACTCTTAAACATTTAGTATACTAAATGCTGTCAAACAGATATCATATGTACATATTTCAATTTGATATTTATACTATCCCAGACAGCACGCATGCCCAAAATCGGGACATAAGACGTCTAAAAGACAGGTGTTTTTTTAGACACCTAGTCAAAAAGATGTCTTAATGACGTCTTATGTCGATTTTGGACCTGTGTGTTGTCTGGGATGCTTATACTATGATCTGACCAGTTAAAAAATAAATGGCGCATGTGTGAAGAGACGCAGAAAATAGAGACGCTCGTGTATTTCCGTTTCTATCTCACTTTCATTATTTGTTCGTGTCAACTTAGTAACAGTATGCTTAGTCTATTCATATCATGTCTATAATTGCATTATTTTACAAATTTTAAAGAAACAAGTGTAAACTTCATCTACTATCTTTTGATGAGGAACATTTAACCCATATGTGTATGTATATACATATATAGATGTATATATATATATATACATATACATATATACATATATATGTATGTATATATATGTATGTAATTAAATATATATGTACATGTAAAATTATCGATCACATTATTAATCGTTGTTAAAAACGATATAAAACAAAAATGATTTGATTTCGTCATATTTGTTTTCTAGTAAAATAAAATTACTAGAAAACGAAAATTTCACTAAAAATGTTTGTTATTATGCGATGAAAAAATATTTCCCTGCGCTGTGCATAACTTTGTCTCATTTTCATTGCACTTAAAGTAGGAGCATAAAGGTTGCAATATGGCCATAATGGTTTGCACGCTCCAAGACCTACCGATCAGTTTTTGTCGATCTGTCGCCGATAAATTTTTCACGTCCGTGTAATGTCGTGGAAAACCAAAAATTTCTTCGAGCTCAGTGGTCCATAACGTGTCACTTTCACCTTTCATTATGATTGGTTTTAATTCTGCTTTCCCTAAAATAAAAAAAAAGAATTTTTGTAAATCTTTCTTGGTGGACAGCAAATTTACTAAAAAAAAATATTTATGAAACATACCACATCTCAAAGAATTTGATCTTGTAGTAACCGTGCGAATTTTCTTCACAAGAGCGTGACGATCGCAATGTTTCGTGAGTACATCTTGAACATCCTGCCGTTTATGAAACAGTACCATATAAGGATTAAAGGGAATATTGTGCCAATACAGTCTAAGTCTGTGCTGCGGCGAGAAATCCGCCGAATCTATGACGTAAGGTTCTTGTCCCAAACACCTGTAGTTAATATAGTATATTAGTTTCACATTGTTCAATATTTGATAAGATTCAACTCACTTGTTCATTTCTAATCGGTACTTGGTTGGCATGGAAGCGACATTCTCGAACATCCAAAACAGGTGGCGACCTTTATTAGCAGTTATTAATAGATCTTTAATTCTGGTATAGTCGAAAAAAAGAATACCTGTCCCATTGCGATCTGTAACGGAAAAAGTAGATCAAAATGATTATTGCTTATGAAATATAAGATTTTTAATATGACGATATACATATATAACTTATACATACCGTGAAGACCTAATCGCGCAGGATTGACAATACTTAAATCATTACACGGCGATCCACCGATTAACAAGTCGATCGGAGCAATTTCATCAATTGTCTCTTTGTCTATGCCCCTTACATCTCCTAAGTAAGTAATACGATCACCGAAATGAGCACTGCTAACCATTAAGGCATCTCTGTCAATTTCACTCACATAATAAACTTCTACGTCGATTCCTAATTTTAAAAGTACTAACAAACCTGTGGGATATTGTAATGTATGAAAATATTTCGTGTGCGATCGTAATATATTTGTATGTGTGTATATGACAGCGTAAAATTATAAAAGTCTGTGTTACTGTCTGTGTAACTCGACTAAAGTGTATTTTTCGAACGTAAATTTACGAAATCAATATATTATAGTGTTACAGCATAAAGAATTAACGCGTGTTAAAAAAAGCAATATAGATCAGATACAAATATGTCTTACCAGTACCCAAACCATCGAAAAGTGATAGAACACGTATAGGTTTCTTTTTTTGATAATGTGCAATATTAATTTCATTTGATATGACATGAGATGTACGGAACATTCCAGTAATTTTGTTTTTCCAGTCCGGCCGCGGACGTAATACTGGGTCCACAGGTTGTCTAGATTCATCTCTGCAGAGGAAACAATCCCATGGATCTTCCGTCAGCATAGTATCATATTCTTTTGGACATACCAAATACTTCATACAAGCTGTGCAGTAAACACTAAAATGAAAATAACGCATTAAATAAATATATTCTGTGGTGATAGAGTCTTATTTCAAGCGCGAGTGAACCAACCGAGGACAATCTTCTCTGTCACAAAGAATAAGAGTTCCGGAACCGGCGCAAACTGTGCAATAAAACTGAAATCAAACGAAACAAAGCATCATCATTATTTCCAGATTTAAATAGTCGGAACTGTCGAATACTTACGCACTTGTCATCGTTCCCAAACACGAACATACACGGTTTGAATTCGTCCTGAAATCGAATAAACAATATCTTTTATTATTGATGCGAAAAATATATTTGACTGGAGTAAACATTATTTTCTTCTAATCTAAGACATAGATTTGTGCGCTTTTCAACTCATACCGAACATTCTTTACATAAAGATCCTACAAAGAATGGATGATCTTCCATTTTGTTTTTAGTAAACTCCAAACATTTTAAACATAATTTGTTTACTGATACTTCTCCTGATATTACGCGACGCAAAGCATCTAAAATTAGCAAAAAAAAAAAAAAACATAAGTAAGAAATTAAAGTATCAATTCGTAATTTACATACATTGCATGATCTAACTCACCACTCTCTTTTATATCATTTCTTCGATCATTATTTATATCTGGCTTTGCTTTAAATTCGTTCATTCTTTTATTGATTTCATCAGAATATTTATCATATATCTTGTTAGAGTCTGAAACTTGTAATTCGTTATTTGGTACGTGAATATTATTCGTATTTGAAAAATACTCAAAGACATTATCTAAAGTCCAGTTATCCGTGTTGCATCCTAAACGAGAGCAATAATCCTAAAAAGTCAGATTTAATTGTCGTGGAAGAAATTTTTGGAAGTTTTTGAAGACAAATACTTATAATATATATATATATATATACACATATATATTACGTTTTTAAATAAATTATTGTACTTATGTAAAATTATTGTACTTATTATCTACGATAAGTGATTTTATACCTTTGAAGCTTGAAGCACGCCTGTAACATACGATTGTTTAGTTGTATTTTTAATGTAGTTGTGCAACTTTTCTAATCCCTTATGAAATTTCAGAAACTCGAGATGACGAATCTACGTTGAGATGTAAAATAATTATCATCACGTTAAAAAATCTCTTTTTAATATGTTAATATCAAAATTTAATTACCTCGGAAACTTTGTAATCGCCATACCACATGATCCATTGACAACCAAAACTTGGTTCTTTCAAGCAGCAATCGCGATAATCAATAATCATTGCTGTAAGAAAAAAACTCATTGTATTTATGAAAAAAAAGAATGAATTAATTGTAAAAAAAGAAATCAGCTGCATTTAAGTATACCGGGCCACCAATTATGTCCAGCAATTTTCGCCCAAGTTATCACACCAGGATGTTGGTTTCGTAAAGGTAAACGCTCTTCCTCGATCTGTTTCCAGCTTGTACTTTTTGGTTCCTTATATTTTTCACTAACCTGTTTTTTCGCCGGTAGAGGTGAGTGTGAATCTGCGAACAGCATGAAAGTGACACTTCAAGCACCATGCGTTAATATTACAAATGTGCGAAGATTAAAAATAAAGAAATCATACTTTTCCGCTGTTTTGATGCATATTTCTCCCTAGCTGTGGAATTTATTTCCTTCAATTCGTCCAGTCTTTGTTGCACTTTTGTGGGATATGGATAAAACGTCAACTCATCCACTGTCAAATCAAATAACGTTTCATATATTTGCAATGATTATATACGGAAGCTAATTTTTATTTCTATACTTTCGTCACTTACATTTCTCCAAATCGTTTACATTCCGTCGTATCCATTCATAATAAGGCTTTGTCAGAGGAGTCTCGAAACGTTGGCGAAGCATCTAAAATAATCGTAACGGCACATCGCATTTTTTGAAGCAATTCCTTATTTAATTTTAATTTTCGTTAATTTTATTCTCGAAGATGATATCAAAGAACCTGTATAGTTGTATCAATAGCGCGTGAAACTTGATTGTTACGTGGCGGCTGCGACAATCGCTGCTCCAATCTCTTCGAGAACGGTTCTATCTGAGTTCTTTCCGTAAGCTGAAAATCAAAACAAATTACATCTTAAGCGAGATTCCTTTACTCGGAACATACTGTTAATTTACCGATGATATTTGTGCATCTCCAAGCCAGTAAACCCATAATTTGCCTGGAGAAGCGAGCATGCCTGCATGTGAAGCATCGATGATCAGAGCTAGAACACATTTCAATTTTAAAAGATATTTAAAGAAAGCATTCCAAAATCAAATATTATTTTGTTCAGTTAAAAGATTGTTATATAATAATACAACTACTAATAATAAAATCGCGTTAATTTAAAACATTGCACAATAAGATCTATATTTACAACGCGATTTGGATTGCGCGTATTACAATAATCGATATATTTTAAATATATTTACCTGGCCACCATCCTGAACATGAACCCCATACTAGCTTGCCGATGTGGTTCTTGTCAGGCTTTGTTCCTAAAGCCTTCGTCTTTCCTCGGGTAAGATATTCCTTTTTATCGTAATCGATTTCCGAATCGTTACCTTTGCTTTCTGAGCGTTTTTGCATTGAACTCGATTCGCTATCAGCTTTCACACTTTTTCTACTTTTTCGAACCTAAATTATTACTTAAAATTAATAAGACTCTACAGATTGAAAAATCAAAATAAGATTAAAAGAGTTAGAGGAGCCAACGCTAGGCCTTAGTGCAAAATAAATATGTTGTATTATGAAAATAGTTGAATACAAACGGTTCCGCCTGTCATCAGATCATCTTCAGTGTCGAAAAATAAATAAGTTCAATAGAAGTACATAGATCATTGCAATAAGTTGTGTTATAAAACACTGTAAATTATATAAAATAAATTGTGCTTTAAAACGAGTATGGTTAAACGCAATAGATTGCTTATGAAGAACGTTGGCTCCTCTAGCTCTTTTCATCTTATTTTGATTTTTCTAAATTATCACATTATTTACTTATTAGACTCGTATTAATCCTTTACCTATTTTCGTGAAGTAATCTATAAATAACTATTAATATAATTGTAAGCCTGTGATATGATACATATAACATATAACATGCTTCCGGCAAAGCATACGGTCGCTGATACTTTTTCCATTTGCGCGGCTTTGATTAAACCCAATAATCAAGCCGTAGTTGCGACTTACTTATTGCAACTTGATAGACTTTGGTGGTTGATAGTGGCTTTCTTTTGATTTTTAGTTGCCTATGAATCTATATATATATATAAACTGTATGAGTTTCTCACTGATTCCCGAACAACCCGGATTATAGTCGACCACCGATATGATTTTCACACTCATTACGTTAAACATAACCATATAGCCCAACATTCTATTTTTAATAAACTGTACAATGTTTATATTTCGTTTATTCTTTTTCGATCCACAATCGCCTGATATGCTTTCCCTACTTATTATGGTAAGTGTGTTACTCACTTCGAAATTTTGGTCCTTGACCTTTGGTTTTTGATCCTTTTGATCCTTTTGATCCTTTTCAACCTTTTCATTCTTTTCATTCTTGGTAATACTTGGGTCTACCGATGACGACCCATTCATAGTCTTATTTTTGTTTGTGTACGTGACTACATTCTTCGTTTCATCATGTTTTACAAAATTGCTGATTTCCATATCATCATCCAAACATGTAGAATTGTTCTCGCTCATCATCAAGAAAATATCCGGTGTTTCGCGATATTTGTAACACGCGCCGCTCATCGTCTCATGCACGTCGTTACAAGACTTTTCACTCGCTGAATCATCGCTCTTCCGACCCAACAACAGTGAACTATCAAATTCCTGGTCGCATCCTTCAATTAAGGATGATCGGCGCCAAAAGTGGTTTATTTCGCTGTCACAACTGTCACAATCGTCCGATTGCCACATTTCTTCCTCCACGTTGATCTTCAGAGACGACGTCGCGGTCGGCGTATCGACGCATTCGTGAAAAACACTCTGATAGGCCGTTTTCGAGCTGTCATCGAATGTGTAATCGATCGAAGATCCGTTTAATCTTTTTCTTCTTTTGCGACCGTTCTGATGTATAGTGAAACTCGTCGATAATTCTTCCGGATGGTCGTTCTTCGATAATTGTATTGCCTTCTGGAAATGTGCAGCCATGTTAGTGAATTCATCGATGTTCCAATCGTATTCCATAGAAATGTTCTGATCGAAATCTTTGCTCTGTTCCTCACTTACATTTTCGGCAGTGACTTCGGAAATCGTATCCTGAACACTTTCGACATCCTCAGTAAGTCCTTTCGCGTCATGTATGTGCGCCCGAATCTCCTGCATAATGACATTCGCTGCTTCCTTCAAGTTCTTCTTACACGTGCAGACGATACTTCTAGTCCGTCGACGTCGTGTATTACAACGGCAACGTTTCTGTATTTTTGTGCTACTATTTACGTCATCGGCAGAGTCTTTCAAATTCGATTCGGATTCTGACAAACTTTCCTCGCAACTGCTGTTTTCTGTAGCATTGCGGTATTTCTTCTTTTGTTTAAGTTTATGTCCTCTTCTTTTTTTTCTTCTGCCTCTTCGTTTGTTTGAAATCTTAGAATAAACACCATTGCTTCTTAAATGATATTTCTGTTGTTTCAGTGCCATTTTTTTTCTTCCTCTCAAAACGATTCCATTCTCAACAGATGTATTAGACGGCAGTGAATTGGATTTTGCGAATTTCGCGGATGAGATTCTGTTTTGCGCATCGTTTCTAGGAGTCTCGTAATCCGACTTTCTCGCTTCTTCCGACGTATCGGAGTCATTGTCTACAGGTAGGATGTTCATAAAATAGTCAGGATACTCCGGCAATTCCGCACGATTTTGCGGCTGTTCTCTTTTCTGGCGACTGGACGAACAGAATTTGGAATATCCGGATCTGGAGTAATCAATTTGCGCGATCTTTTTCGAGCTCGTTCTCGATGTTGTTCGACGAACTTCGTTCTTGCCGGCTGGTACGTAACTTTTGGATAAACGCGCGCGATTTTCGTTCCTGGCGGACGACCGAGTACGGAGTTGCATTAACGAAAAGTTGTTACCCGATAATCTCGCCGTCGGACTCGATTCCTGAGTCGATAAGTCGAAATCTTCCTGGTCGGATTCCAGCGATGACGCTCTCTTAATCGAGAGATCCTCCGATGCATCATCGATCTCGTGATTCGCGTTATTCTTTAGCTTTCTGTATCGTCTTGGCGTCCATTTTCTTCTCTTCAGTCGTCTTCGTACTGGCTTCCTCGAAGTAGTTTGCGGGATTAGCGACGGATCGATAAACGGCCACGAGTCATTGAAGATATTCGCGGACTCACACACGACATCTTCACGATCGCTCGTCTCGGAATCGGCGGACTTCTCCGCGTTCTTGTTCGCGGTGCCCAGAAAGTCGACGTAATTAATGAAGTTGACATGCTTCAGGGCCGACTGGGGAAGGATACCCAGTTCGGTGGCGCAAACTGCAGACCAAACGCTCGTCACATTGTTTGGTATCAATGAACTTCTCTTGCGTTGATTAGATGTTTGATATGTCTGAAATTCATAAAAATTGTGAGATCAAAAAAGATGCTCGTAATATATAATATTAACGACCTAATTACTAAGAATTTATCAATATAATATTAAAAACAACCAATTATAATGATCGAAATGTCGTTAAAAATTACTCCAAACATTATACGTTAAAATTTTATGTGATTATTCAATTCGGATAATTTATCAAATAATTTATTTACTACAAAAAATTTTTCGATATTCGTAATTGTATTTAATTAATTTATTCATATTTTGCTGGAATAACATGCAACTCGTGATTGCGAGATCTTCAAGATCATTTACTTGTCGAAAATAAATGTTATCGTTAAAATAAAAAATTGTGTCACTTGACACAATTAAGAATGATTGAACGTACGTCGCGAGAACGTGCTGCGCGCGCGAAATTGCATCAGCGGGGCGACACCGGAAGCGGGAGACGCGCGGAACGGTAGGTCTCCATAATCCGGGATGTTTGCTTATTTCGTAATTACAAGAGTAAAGTGTATAAAGAAAATGTATTGGATCGCGCGCGTCGCATCCGTGAGCAGATTTCCCACGGGTAAACGTAACTCGCAACATTGACAGAGCTCGCCGCGGGGATGAGGACCTCGCGGTAAAAAAAAAAAAAGAAGAGAGAGAACGATTTCATCGTCGTGTATGCGTGCGCAAAAATCTCGCCTCAAAGAGAGACAAATTGAGGTCGCGGGCGCTTGATTAAAATTAAATCTAAATTAATCCCTCCTTCAACGTACTCTGCCCGACCGCGGTAGTGTTGTCGCCACGGTAAACATGCGGTTTTCATATTACCGTGCCGTGTCGAAGGAGTGCCCGGGTCTCTCGAAAAGAGTGGCGCACACTCGTCGCGACGGCACGAGCACGCTCTCTTGATCGCGGAGTAATATCGCGCACGGTACAAACATTACATTTATATATCCCTCCCGCCAAGCTCGCGCTACGCACTTTCGTATTTGGCATGCGTACCCCTTTCATCCTCTCCCGAGCTTCTCGTAATACTTCCCGGAAGTCTACGAAGACCTGAATTAAGTATGAAGTCATAAGAAATGTAGATGCGCTGCAAAATGAATGTCGGCGTTGTAAAGTTGGCGTGTGCGCGCACGGTGTGCTCCTTATTCGTCGACAATGCATTTTAACGCATTAATCGCGATGACGCAATGCAGCGATGCGAATAACGCGTGTATAATTTTGGGATTGCGTTTCAATATGTGACTCGACACTTTTGCTATTGATATACGTAGTAATACGCCTTTTCGTAAATGCAAGATAATACTTCGTAACATGCTATTTTCGTTTATGATAAAATGCTTATCTATGCAAATAAAGACGGACAGATGATGTCTCTGTTAACAATACTTCAAAAAATATCATGTTTAAAAAAAAAATTAAGTTATATAAAAAATGCAAATTATAGTAGAGTTAAAAATCTATTCGTGGTTTATTAGAGAAATATTATACTTCTTATTTTATTAGTTTTCCTTTTATCAATTGTCTAATATCAAAATTAATGTTAATAAATTTCCTTTATTTCCTTCTTTTATTTCATCGTCGTAAACAAATTATATTATTAAAATATTTAAACTAAATTTTATGTTTGATCTTCAGTTATAGTATTATTTTATTGCATGTCATGTTGTTTACAAAAAATAACTTTCATTAAAATTTGTCTGCATCTTAATGAAGAAATGGTCGGCTCTCGAGTATTTACTTACATAAAATCGAATGCATGTGTTAGTATATATTTTAATAATAATTATGATAAACAGTATTAATATTTTATTTTTAAATATAAGATTAAACCAAATAGTTTCTCAGTTATATTTTTGAAACTTAATTTATAAAAAAAAAGTCAATAAGAAATATATTTGCAATTACGTATTCGACTAGGATTTTTTTCACTGAAAAAGAAACTTCGCCGATTTCATATCTTTCAAGGAATCTGGTATAAAAATTTGATGCGTTGAAAGTGGAAAATTATATATGTTACACATGTAATTCTACGTTCATATGTCATCGAAGTCAAAAGAAAAAGTCTTCTCGATCGCGACAAGAGAAGAAAGAAACAATTCGCGTAAGGTATACACATAAATATTTCAATATCGGAGTAGCGCTCCCCTTGAAGCCGCCTCTTACTCCACCCTACCATTCTGCGGTAATTGCAACGTGTCCGTGCTCTCCAACATCTTATTTCAAATAACATAAATCGATAAAATAAAATATAAGAGAAACGGGGAAAAATGTTCTCCGGCACGCAAGTGCCGCTGAATCACACAATAATTGCGTTACCGCTGATAAACGTGGTAATTTTTGCATACGCCGTGGAAACGAAATCCCGCATCGATGACTACGGAAATAATGTAACATTATTTTTCAGCGGCGCGAAAAACGCGTCGCTCGACAAAGATATTCGAGCAAATTGTGATCCGCATTTAAATCACTTTAAGCGATCCGTCGGCCCGCGGGAGAGGGCACAAAGGAGAAAAAGGAGCGCAAGGGAACACGTGTTACACATGGCGCCTCTAAAACGTGCTTCTAGAGACCGGTTCGTGCTGCAACACGGTCGACCTGTTGAATGGAGGGCTCGTCATTAGCAGTTTTACGCAAACAAAATTAACAGCTGTTTGTCGTTCCGATTGCGCGATTATTTAACGGTTGCATTAATTTCGGAACGTTGCTTTTCGCGGTGTATTTTGTGGCGGATATCAAATCACGCGGTTTAGCCGTGAACTGATTTGGCGAGAACCATAAAAAAACCATAAGAAATATAAAATAGAAGCGCTGACAAAGTAACCAAAAATATTGATGAAACTTGAAATATTTCATTTTACCGCACACAATGTTACTTTGCTGGAGCGGTTAAGAGTTAATTTCTCCAGTCGCCGCATTTGTGCGCGGTCTTCGCACTGTTTTGGTGTAGAGAATAGAACACCTCGTGTAAACTTCCGACAACATTAATTCCTTCCGTTCTCTCATTGTTTAGCGATTAAAGCGTTTACGAATGTAAGCACGTGTCAATCACGAATGCGTGTAATTCCCGTTATTTTGCGCGACGCAGCCACCCGCGTGTCTGATTGCTCTTCCATTAATTTCTCGAATTACGTTCCCGATTGTGGCGCATTAGGGATGCGAAGAAATTTCAAGGAGCGCCAAATTGACCTAATCGGCTTCTGGATTTCCGATAGGCGGAAACGGCCGTGAAGGGGGTGGCGATAAATGAGTCGAGGCCGGCCGGCGGCGACGCGGTCGAGATTCGAATCGCCCTTTAAATAGCCTCGCGAAGGGTTGGCGAGTGCGCGAAAAAAAAGTGATGGAGAGGGCGGGAGGAAGAGAGGTCAATGCATGCATACACGTACACACACAAAGTTTATGGCGGCGCCTCCAAAGGCATTTCTCGAGGTCGCTCCGTTCCGCCGGGGTCGACCTGATGAATGGAAACGTCGGTATTATTGTGTTTACACGCGGGACACACGGGTGCCTCTCTCTCGCTACACTTGTTGGCGTGGAAACATTCCATTCATAAAGCGTTCCGCGCGTTCCTCTCACCGCCATACACACCGCGCCGCGCAACCCGCACACGTATGCACGCGGGGGAAAGGGGGGTGCACGACCCTCTCTTCTCAACCCCCGCGTCGGGGGAGGTTGACACCAGTGACGTATTCAGAATTTCGTCGCCGCGCCGCGAGGGGTGGCCTCGGCCCGCGCCGAGATAACGCCGCGCGGAGATTTTCTCGGCTCGTAATAACACCCGCCCTTTCCCCGTCTGAAAATAATTCCTCGCTCCATTACGCAAGAAAGGGGGGAATTCTCGAGTCGAGATTCATCTCGCTCGTGTCTGGTGACAAGGTTTGATCGCTGAAAACTCGTGAGAATTTTCGTTCGTCGCCGCGATCTGCGTTCTCTCGTCTGATTGCATTAACTCCTTAACTACTTAACTCGAATTCACGTGTTTATTAATCTGCGCTAGTACAATGTATTTTATGTGCCTACAGATAAATAAATAAAGATGTAAATGTAAAAAATGTTGTATCCAGTTATAGTTTTCTTCCATTTCACTTTTTTTTGTGTGATAATTATTATTCTTATTAGTCATTTCGTTTTTTCATTTCTCTAAGCTTATTAAAAGAATATACTTCTCATATTGAATTCAATTAACATTAAATCTTTTACAAAGTTATTCCTTAAAGGGAATTATACAGGAGAAAACAAAACGCAAGGTGGAAGGGTGTGAAATTCTTGCGGGGATGAGAAAGGCAGGCGCGACATCCCCCACGTTACTCGTAACACATCGCGGTAATTTATAACGACAGGTGTTCCCGGTTCTACCGCTCTGCCCCTTCGCCAACTTCTACCGAGAAAGGGCGTCAACCATAACGCCGCCTTGCTGCCAGTGGCAGCAAAGGAATGCTCTTTTTCGTCGCGTGCCTCTCAAGGTCTTTAAACTGAATGGTCACGTGCGGTCCCGTCGCTTTTTCATTTATTTCTTTTTTTTTCACACCGTCTTCGATGCACGGTGTCAAAGATGCTTGCGATGCAATTCGTGTTCCGTCCAATCGGTCGTCTTAAGTGCATCCGAACTAAAAGTATATTCTATATTCGGTGAATTTTTACAGCTGTGTACAGAGCGTATAATTTTTCAAACACGTCGATCGAATATAGCGCAATTTCAATATTTCTAGAATATAATTTAAATTAGATATATCTTTATATATAATTAGCTTTATATAATTAGATATGTATTTTAAGTTTTAATCGCTGTGCTAAATATCAAAAATTCTTTTATTGTTTTATACATTAATTATAATCCGTTTGAAAGTACGTGTTTCAAATTTATTGAACAGAATGCAAATATTCTATATAAGAGACTAGTATTCATTCATATTTAATACATCTCTGACAAATATACAATTCGGTCATTCGAAGAGTCCGATATTTTGAGTGTTTCGAGTTTAATTTCGATCTGCCGGAATTTAGCGAAATTTCCGAAGTTTCGTAAAATATTTTATAAAGTCCCATAAGTCTCTGTCTGAAAGCCAATTAAAAGTACATCGTAACGTTCGTAATATCAGCTTAAGACGACTCCGCGGCGTAAAGCTGGATCTCGCTGTGCGTCACGATTCTCTCGTGTTTACATCGCGCCAGCTGATATGAATGGACTAGTAGCGGCGCAGCGTGCACGTATTTGTGTATTCGGTCATGACGACTTTCCGTATAAATTGAAACTTCTCGAGGGTGTCTCGTCGTCGACCGGGGAGAACGTCGAGAAGCGGGGAAAACGAGACGGCGGTGCGCGAGCGGGGGAGCGAGGAGAGAGCGGGAAGAGGGCGAATGAGAGAAACAAGAGGGTAGGAGAGACAGAGAGCGAGGGGATGAGGTAGATCAGAGAAGGGTAGAAAGCCACGAAGCTGGGTCAGTTCCGTTTAGTAGGAGCCAAGCTCCAATTCCGTTTGGATCTGTCGCCGTACCCTTCGCATCTCTTCAGATTGCTTGGATGAGGCGCCACAGAGAAAAAAATGCTCGAGGAAATCGCGACCCGAAATAAACGGCGAATGGAAAAAGTGGTGTCGTATTTTAATACGGCTTTACTACAATTGAATACGAATCTTGTGATTAAGGCGAGATAGATCCTTATGAGATGTCAAAATCGAGCAGTATCGCAGAATGACATTTTATCATCATAAACTTAATTATTTCGTGACATCTCTTCATTAAAGAGCTGTAATGAAAGCGCATACCTGCGGCAGAACGCATTCGTTTCAATTAATAATATATATTTCGGTGGCGGCTACGTAGGAATATTTTTTCTAGCCGCGTACGTCAAA